AAATAATAAATTATTATACTCATGAAAACATTATAAGAGTAGATACTTAAAGCGACATTTTATACACATATGGAGTATTACTATTTATATATTACCGAAAGATGATTCATATTTTTCAATAGTCATCAATGTTCTTATTTTACTTTTTTTACCAAAAACATATTACGAAATAATTTTATTAATTATATTTTAAAATTTTAAATTTCAAATAAAAATATTTTATTTTTTTACTATTTTTTTCTAAATTTTTAGTACGTTATATAATTATTTAATAATAGAATAATATTAAAAACAAATGACAAATCTTTATTAATTTGTTATTAAACAAGTAAAAAGGAAAAATGACCAATCAGTAAAGTGAAAAGGAGGAAAGAGTATATGACATGTGTTTATAAATAAAATTTTATTATTTAATTATGATTAACTAATATACATATTACTTCAATAATTTATTTAATTATAATTTATCTCGACTCTCACTTTTAATAATCCTTCATCAAATTCAACTGGAAAATATATGAAGTTAATTAAAGTAGGGTAATTTACACACTTTAAAATATTAATTGGGTATAAAACAAATAATTATCTTTCACCAAATTAAAATGAAAATGGAAAATATATGGGGAAATTAGAGCACAATTGACAAGTGTTATGTCAATGTGTCAGTTTGGAAAGTTTAATGGCCCCACATACTCAATGACATTTCACCTTAGGGCATCATTTGTAATTTAAGAGAAAAATGTGACTTTTTTTTAGAGTTATTGATAAGGTCTAAATAAATAAGCATGAGGGATAACCCTTTTAAGCAAGCAAATCTTGCAAAGTGTTTTAAAGATCATAATACCCTCAATTTTTTTTAAATGACTTAAAACTAGCATGTTGAAACTCTCTTAAACTCTCTCTTCTAATATATACTAGATAATGTTGCCCGTGCTATGCACGGGCCCAATAATATAAATGGTATATTTTGGGGCTAATAATCGAGTTTTTGAAGCGATTGTTTGCGTGGATAAAGGAATAAGTTTTTTTTTT